GCTGTTCTGGTAGGGCCCTGGAAGACACTAGTATTGAGAGTGCAGACAGTGGAGTCCTGGTCCAATAAGTTTCAGATGGAGAAAAAGACTATTTCAAAATCTGGGCTAGAGGCCATCATGTGATTATTTTGGCAAAGAATCTGGCTATTTTCTGCTCCCGTCCTGAGGATTTACATGAGGCTAAGTAAAGAGAGAATAGACTAATTTCTTTGGCAGAGGAAATATCAAGACAATATAATACTGACTCTGTGGCATAGTTATTAGTGATTACTTTTACGTAGGTCTAAAGTGGAAAAAGGGCAAGAGGGGAAGAAACACAAAATGTACAGTTTGGAGAACAAAAGAACATCAGGAAGCTTAATGTTGCTCTTAAATCTAGTGCTGTCAAAAAGGCTGTCGTTGTTAAGGAGATTAGTACCATTAAGGAGAGGCCTCCTGCTCTGCATTGGAGCAAAGGAAAGGGTACCCTGAGACCAGACCCCACCCAGCTCAGCTTCTAACTTGTGAGAGGAGGAAGCCTAAAGAATGTTCTGCTCCTAGGAAGCAACAGCATACAAAAACTGCTGCTAGTGTGGTTAGAGGAGTAAGGGTCCATCCCAAGCTGATAGTTGTCTACAGAGTATTTGCTTTGGAAGTGTGAAGAATGCAAGAGTGAAGGGGCTGTGGGCTCTTCCTCCATGGTTTCAAAAAGCCAGGCTCCATGTAATGGTGCTGGAGTGGCTGCAAAAAGGCCCCAGGAGGCCAGTCACGAGAGACCACTTTATGAAGCTGTAAAAGGGAAGCCCGTGTTGAGTGGAGATCCTAAGGTGTTGGAGATGCCAGGGCTATGAGACCTCTGCCAAGGAGAGCTGTGTACAAGGAGTAGAACCAGCCCTAGAGAGATATATATGTCAAAGGCAACAAAGCTGGTGAGGTGGAGTCATCTAAGCCCCTTGAAACTCATGCTCTGTTGGGGACCCCTGCTGTAAAGTCGTAGTCTCTCCATGTCTGGGTGGCCCACAGGCTCGGTTTTCATATGCAGATGACTCCTTTCAGCAGAGTACCTGGCATCTTCCTAACTCTCCTTTTGAAGTGCCCGCCACAAATGCCATAACATAAACATGGCCTCTGGTTCTAGGAATACCATGCTTTCCTGTGTGATTTTTCAGGTAGTCAGCGGTCTGGCAGCATGGCAGAAACCCACTTCCATATGCAAATAGAATGTCTCACAAAGTATCCATCAGCCAAAGCTTTTACCACTACCCCCTAGTAGCTGAACACTTAATAAAGCTGTAACATGGACTAAGCAGAGTCCTGCGTCTTACTACTGATCCAGTCTCTCCAGGGGGCAGCATTCCTCCGTCACCGACTCCCGAAGCCCCAGCTTCAGCCGCCTTGTGCTCTCCCGTGTGATCCAGTGGCCAGTGGATCTCGCATCAAGAGGAAAGTGCACAGGGGAAATTAAGGCGGTACACGGCTGGACAACGCTCCAGCAGCAGAGACCCACAGAGACACGGAGAAGCCCACGGACCCGTGCCACGACTCTCCAGGCGTGCCCGCGCACACCACGCCAGGGTGCCCAGTGCGCGCGCACCATAATGCTCCACATAGTGAGTACAGTGTTATAGGATTTGTTTGCCCTGAGGTTTCAGTCTTGCTTTGGTCTGGTATTTCCTCATTGTGCTTCCATTCCTCGTTTTTGGAGTGGGAATGCTTACCATGTGCCGTTGTATGCTGAAAGCATGTATTATTGCTTTTGATTTTACAGAGGGTCACAGTTAGAGACTCTTCTTGGGTCTCAGAAGAGACTTTGGACTTCTGAGCAGTGTTGAGACTCTTAAAGATTATGGGTACTTTTGAAGTTGCACTAAGCATTTTGCATTACGACATGGCCATGTGTCTATGCGGGTCAAGGGTGGAATATTCAATTTGAGGATAAATGTCCCCCATAGGGTCATGTATGTAAACATTTGGTTCCTAGTTGGTTGTGCATTGGGAGAGGTTATGGAACCTTTTGGAGTTGCAGTCTTGCTTGAGGTCTGTCACTGGGGTGGGCTTTGTGGGTTTATAGCCTTGCCTGTTTCTGCTTCTCTTTGTTTCCTGTGTGTGGAATGTAACCAGATGGCTTCCTACTCTTGCTGGATGCTGTGCCTCCCTATCATTTGAGCTCTAGCTCTCTGGAACCATCAGCAAAAGCACTTTTTCTTCTATAAGTTGCTTTTGGTTATGATATTTTATCACAACAAAAAAGTAACTGATACACATGGGTTACTGGGCTTGAACTCTGGTCACCAGCTTTACCCAGTAAGTACCCATTGAGCCTTTCCTGATGGCTCATTATTTAGAATTTTTTTATTTGCCAAGATATCTTCATGATATTTATTCAACTTTCTATTGGGATATTTATCATTTAGTCATTCTTTAAATATTAAGATGTTTATCTGTTACCACTTTTTTCTTTTTTATTGAATTTTTGTGTATTTATTGCCAATTTTATAAAAGATATAAGTATCTTCACATATTTGTCATATATGTCACAAATATTTCCCCCCACTTTTTCATGGGCTCTTTGCTTTGTTTATAAGCCTTTTCTCCAGTTGAAAGTTTACTTTTTTTTCTTTTTACATATTTAGGGCTTGAACCCAGGACCTTGTGCATTCTAGGCAGGCACTCTATCACTGAACTATATTCTCAGCCCTTTAAGTATTAATTTTTGATAATTAAATATGTAAGATTTTTCTTATCATGGTATTTATGGTGTATGCTAAGAAAGCTCTTTTCTATCTTAATGTTGCAAATAAATGTTTATATTTTAATTTTTACTCTTTCTGAAATTTGAGTGTCACAAGTGTAAGGAATCTGACTTAATCATTCACTTCACACTACCAAATTTAGCCAATTGTCCCCAACAAACAATGCTTGCAGTGCATACTTCATCACTTTTGGACTGCATTTGTGGTCCATGTATCAGATAATTTGGACAGCATAGGGCTAACCTGATATTTCTCTAATCATTCCTGGAGACACAGGGGTCTCAATAAAGGTCATGAAAAACCTTTTAGGTGTTTTCTGCTCTGGCCCTGCCACATGGTCTATGTTTCTTGCCTTCCAAGTGTCCCTAAAGCTGACCCTGTTGGATGTACTAGCATTGAAACCCCAAACTTTTGACAAAGAAATGACGTGGCTTCTGCACTTTTCTGTTCCTGTGTGTGGTTTATGAAGAAGACCGTCTATTATTCATTTACTAGGTGGCTTTGATAGCTTTTATAAATCATTTGAAATAGCTATTATTTGGGAGCTGGAGAGATTGCTTATTGGTTAAGAGTACTGGCTGCTCTTTCAGAGGACCCAGATTGGGATCCCAGAACCCACATGGTGGCTAACAATGGTCCTTAGCTCCAGTGCCAGGGGATCCAGTGCCCTCTTCTGGTCTCCACGGGTATTGTACAACATAGGTACACTTACATGTATGCTGGCAAAACACACACATAAAAATAAATTACTTTTAAAAATTAAAAAAAATAGCCATTATTTTATTCTTTTGAAACTCAAAACTTATTGAGATTCCTAGTCTTATTTCCCCCTTTAAAATGTTTTAACTTTGTAGTTAACTGCTATTTTAATTTCTGAAACTATTCTTTCTTTAAATTTTGAATATTTCATTCTATAAAATTTTAGAGCTTTTTTGTTTTGTTTCTGTGTTTAGGCACCTTATCTCAAGTCTGTAAAATCATTCTACAATGTCACTCCCATTTTCCTCATTTTACAATGTGAAAACTAATACTCAGAGATGAAAGGGACCATCTCTGAGTGACCGAGCTGAACTGGCATAATCATAGCTAGAATATTTACTTTTCTGTATTCTCTTTATACAGTAAATTAAAGTCAGCTCTGAACTAAAACCTTAGGGAGAGATAGAGAATATAAAAAGAACTTTCCTTATGGATTTTGTGTTTCAAAACGTTAATGATGCAAGGTAGAGATAGAAGATATGAAGGAAAAGTAAAAAATATGGAGCTAGGTTTTGCTTCCCCTTTTCTCTGTCTCTCAACCCAAAATGGGATGATTAACTTGAGTTTGGTGAGGAGAAAGGCTTGAAAGGAAGAGGTGCAGCTAGAGAGGTGCTGAGTCTGGTTGAGAAGATCCTACACTTCTCTCTGGGTTGAAAGTTGCAAATTTTCCCCAGTAGGTATCTGGGAGCCATGCATCAAGCACCTAGGACAGAAAAGGGCTCACTGCATCCTGAGAGAGCCTCTCATTGATTTAGACTCCACAGAATATTGGAAAAGTAGCAAAATCATCATGCCAACTCTGGAGTGCTCTGAAAGATACAGGAAAATCTTCCATACACAAAGGCACCTGGGGAAATGGGGCAGATTTTGTGAGCCTACGACAGAGATAAATTAGATTGTGGACATCTCAATACTAACATAAATTAAAACCCATGATTTTGTAACTGTCTAGGGGTCTTGATTGGTTTGTTTTCTCTTCCAGTTGAAGAATTAAAAGACAGGGAAAATCTCAGACCCAGAAGAGAGCAACAGGCAACAACCTTTATTAGAAGAAATACACACACATATGCACATACTCACACAGGGAGAAAAGCTCTCTACAAGTGGAGAGGGGACTTGGAAATGGGAAAAATTCCAGAGCCCCAGGAGGACTTGGGTCTTTTAAGTGTTTTTTGATGGGTCTCCCTCTCCTAATTTTGGATTAGTCAATTTAAACAAAGACGAAAGAGCCAATAGGCTACAGTTCCAAGGGCATGTCCATGACTGGTCTTGGTGTTACCTAAACTGATCTGGACTGGCTAGCTGGAAAGCAGACCTTGCTGGCAGGAGAAAAAGCTTGCCAGGTCTTTGTCTCAGACTAAGAAGCAGTAGGAAGTGCACTATTTTTATTACTCATCAGTGGCCTTGTTTGTTTATCAGGGATTTAGTTACTTACTATTTCTCTTTTTAAGGTCACAGAATGAGTTGCATAGCAGCAGTTTTTTCCAACTTACTTTATTAGCAGTGCACTCAAGAAGTGCTTTTTTCACATTGTGCAACCACTGTATTCCCACATTTGATGCCCCTCACACTGCTTAGGAATAAGCAGGTAGGTGAAACAGGAATGGAAGGAAGTCCTCAAGGAGGCCTTTATGTGAGTGCAGGTATGCACATGCCACAGTGCCCATGTGGAGGCCAGAGGAAAACTTGTGTATTGGTCGGTCTTCATCTTCCTTCTTATTTGAGACAGGGTCTTTTTAGCATTGACTCTCAGAAGAGCAGAACACAACGGACGCTGGAACATAGACGTATAATCATAGGATGAGTGAATTGCTTGGGAAGCTCTGATTTCAGCACAGTGACTGGAACCACAGAGCCCACCTGTCTCCATCTCTGACTCCACCTGCACTCTAATCCACCTATGTAAAATAGTATTATCTGAACAGCGTCTGGATCAGAATCCACTGTCATACAGAAAAGGAAGCCCTCCTCTTCAAGCACCATTCCATCCAGCTGCATGACCACAGGGAAACCCAGAGCTTCTGTGCTCCTCAGAGTCCTACAGCTTAGGATCTTGTCTAACGGCTGGACACAAAGGAAAAGGATGGCTTCCTGTCGCTTCTGTCCTCTTGCACTATGTCCGCTGCCTGCTGAATGCCTTCCCTAGTACACAATAATCTTTTTAAAGGTTCAGATGAAATGTCCTGGCTCTTCATTCTTTTTTTTTCTCCCTGTAATCCCAGCTGGCCTAGAACTTACTATGTAGACCAGGCTGGTTTTGAACTCACAGAGATCCACCTGCCTCTGCTTCCTGAGTGCTGAGTTCTGGGATTACAGGCATGTGTCAATGCGCCAGCATGCCCGGCTTCTTCATTCTTGATTTAAATGAGCTAATACAATGAGGCTAAATGTAAAGTTTACATATTAAAAAAAAAATCACCAAGCAAGTAAAGTATGTAGGCAGAGGTGGGGGAGAGAGTATGAAGAAGGGAGACTTGTTTGAAGTTAAAATGAGAGACACACATTGCTGCATCGCCCTAAGATTACCACAGCTGTGATTGTTTATTGCTTGTAGCTTGCTCTTGACTCAATCGCCAGCACTTTGGCAGTCCTCGTAGACAGCTGTGTGGCAGTTTCCTCTAAACTGAACTATTACCTTCAGGAGGGACTGAGAGGCTCATGAAACTCAGGAGGTAAACAAATTTCACATGTGCAAGATTCACTAGGGACCCCGGTCATCCCTGCTCCTGGAGGTAACCAATCACCCATACTCTTGTTAGTAACCCCAATAAAAACTCATTGGCTGATCAAGTTGGACTATGGTGCAATTGTTACTTTGGTCTGGTGTGGGTTCCCTTTCTGGGATGAGTAAACGTGTATGTGTTGCATTTCCCCAGGGAAAGTCCTTCACACAGTGGTAGGCGCCATGAGTACTTGTGCATTGAAAGAACATATGAATAAATTAATACTTATTGAACAAATGCTGCAATCCTAAAGTTGCACTAGCACGCATAGGCTGACCATCATTCAGAGATGATGTATTATTTGTGTACTGGGCAGGAGGCTAAGCCTGTCTCTAAGATTTTTTGAAGGTTTTTTAACTCCAGAAATGTCAACTCACTTGTTTCAGATGATTTCTCTAACCAGAGAAATAGTACATTATTGGCCAAATGTAGAAAATACAGTTCTCAGTGCTACTCTGACTTCTCGAACATCTCTTTGAAATTGTTTAGAGCAGGGCTTTTTTAAAGAGAGGCCTGAAGGTACAGCTTTTTCTTATATTGGTGACAGTAGCAAACAGGATGTATATAAAAGATATCAAAGGACCAAGTTGTTATCTCTTTTTCACAAAACCACTTGGAAATGTCTGAGTATTTTGTCAATTATCAGCATACAGGAGATCATCTAACAAAATACTTACGTTTTCCCAGTATGATACAACTCCAAGGCTTTGTGGAGTTTGTCAAAAGGCAGCTGATGAGTTATTAGTGGATCTATATTAATCTTATTTTGGAGATAATCAGTCACTAGTTGTGGAATACAGTCCCTGGTTTTATAATCTGCAAAGCAAAAAGGCTATTAATAATAAGATGTGAGATATATCGACCAACCAGTGTACTGAGATGGTCCCATGGGGAAAGGCACTTGCTGCACAAACCTGATGACTTGAATTCAATCCTTGGGACACATATGGTGGAAGGAGAGAACTCCTGCAAGTCATGCTTAGGCCTCTATATGTGAACCATGGCATGCAAGTGTGCACATGTATGTACATGCACACCCACATACATACCCACCAAGTAAATGTAATAATAAAATTTTTAGAATATCAACCAACCAAAAAAATTTTTTTTAAAATCAAGTAAGTCATGAGAGATAGGTAAGATATCCTCCAAACATTTGTCATTGACCATGAACAAGGAGTCATTTGTACCTCAGAATCTGTTGACTATTGTTGTTAAATGTGGCCACTATAGACAATCTGTTATCTAAACTCTTTTAGATAATATTTGGGCTAATATTCATACTAGTGAGTTAAAAATGACCCCTTTAATCCACATTCAGTGATTACCATTGAGTAACAATTTCCTCTCTAACACATGGGATGGTGTGGGAACCCTTTCTGTCCACATTCATGGGATGGCATGGGAACTTCTCTGTCCACATGCATGGAGGTGGCATGGAAGCTTACTACCAGATTAATGGGTCAAAATAAGTGTGATAACGTCCTAAAGGTGCTAATCAATATTGCCTAGAAATAAAGATTCTTACGGGAAGACAGAAGTCAGGCTTAGCATACCAGTTTACTCTATATATTGACATTTAAGACACTAAAAGGTATTCCTGTTAAAATAACACAACAAACTTTGAATCCATCAATGCAGAACCAAAGCTGAATAAATTATTTCAGTCTCTGAAGAAAACCCAAAACACTTTTCTGGAAGAAAAATTATAAACTTCAATAGCTCTACTATTTAATTTACCTAATTAAAATTAACTTGAGGACTTGGGAAGATGGCTTGGTTGGTAAAGTACTTGCCATGCAAGCATGAGGACACGAGTTCAGGTCCCCAGCACTCACATAAAAAAAGCCCATCATGGTGGCATGCACCTGTCATCTTAGCACTGGAGAGGTGGGGACAGGAGGAGCCCTGGAGCTCACTGGCTAGCTAGTTCTGTCCAGTTGGTGAGCTCCAGGTTCAGTCAGAGGCCTGGCCTCTAAAAATAGAGTGACAGAGGGAAACACCTGCATTGAACTCTGACCTTCACAGGCACAAACACACACATTCATGCTTGCACACTTGCACATATATGTACACACACAAACACATACACATTAAAAATTTATTTGAAGAACATTGCAATTCATTAAAGGATGAGTCAATGGACACATTTACTGTATCTCTGGTTCCTCAAGGGAAGGAACTTTGACCTCTGAGCTTCTATAAATTTGAAAGAGATCTCTTGAGACTAGCTGACTGCTGAATGGGCCTTCTGTTCATCCACTTACCTCCCAGACACACGCCCTTCAGTGTTTTTCCAGAGACAATCTTTGATGCCTCAAGGCAAAGCTGAGAGTCTAATGGAGCCAGCCCAATGATCAGACAGACACCGTAGCTGTAGTTGCAGGAGTTCCAAGCAGCGAGCTGATAATGATAACAGTCATAAGCATGGCCCATGCATAAATACCAGCTACTCCCGAAGCAGAAGAAACTCAGAAGGCCCTAGACAGTGAACCTGCTCTTAGGCACTCTTTCACTTCAACAATGTGACAGGCAGCGTGTCAGAGAATTAGTAGGGTTTAGTAATAAAAAGCAAAGACTCTGCAATTTGTATGACCTCAGGCAAAGCACTTAACTTCCCTTTCGCTTGGTTTCCTTGTTTGTGTAAAGAAGAATGTCACCTACAATATAGATTTGTTATAAGGATGAAATGATTAGCATTCTTAAAACCCTTAGAGCACTACTAGGTACACAGAAATAAATTGTGTATTGAATAAAACTAGTCACTGTCTTAAAAGTCTCAACCCTGTTCTTTACCTCACCTTTTCCTCACTATGCCTCACTGCTCAATTCACTTCTATTAAAACAAAATGAAATGAAACAAACAGGCATCCATGCAATTTCAAAAAAATTCAACTTCCCAATGGTCCACAGCACACATCTTTTCTAGTTCTTAACCATGTTTTCTGTCTTCAGTTTTTACCTTATTTCCCTCTTCTCTGTTCTCTGTATCCCTTCACCAACTTTGTTCAACTTTTGGATGAGGGATTAGCCATGCATTTCAGTGTTTTGAATGCCTACACTCTCTTATTTAAACTGTATGTTCCAGAGGATGGGGCCTATGTCGTTCATCCTGTATCTCTAGAAGGTAACACACTCAACAACCTCCTTGAGGCACAGGAGTTTGACAAGCATTCTTTTTCAAATGAATGACCAGTCCTGTTAGAGGACACTGATACACACACTAATCCTATAGCATTTATACTTAGCTAGGTTTGAAGTACATGGACATGAAGGACCAGGAATGAAAAAAGCATATTACTGGTATTACGACTCTTTTTAAAATTTTTTATACCATAACCTATGTCCCTTCATATATATTGCTTTTGTTTTATAAAATAAGGTTTTAGAGTGAATTTATATTCTATTTTTCTTTTGGGGCACATAGGTCCAAAACACATTTCCTGGAGAGTTTATATTTATATATGCAAGGCTGCCCCCATTACTGTGTCCCAAGACACACACCATAGTCTCAGTGTGTCCGATGACTTCAAAGGCAAAGTCAGCACCAACACCTGTCATTTCCATCACCACCTCATGGACAGGTTTCTTGAGCTTCTTCGGGTTGAGGCAATCAGTGACTCCTAAGGCTCTTGCCCAGGGAAATTTCTTCTCATTGATATCAACCCCAATGATTCTAGAAGCACCAGAGGCTTTGCAGCCCAGGACCACAGCTGAGCCAACCCCTCCAAGACCAAAAACCACACAGGTGGAGCCAGGGGTGACCTGCAAATTCATAAACCATGTTGTGTCAGTCTTCAAAGCTGGGCACAAGCATAGCTAAGAAAATAAACAAACAAATAAAAATCATTGTACTTTTTGTAACTATGTATACCAGTCTAACCGTTTGGACGGATTTGGCTTAGTTTTTATTTTTATTTTTTTCTGGGAAAATAGCTGTATTATTCGGTACCTTACCTTGGCTGAGTTAACAGCTGCCCCATAGCCGGTAGGAACACCACAGCCTATGAGACAAACTTTATCCATAGGTGCAGCATCATCGATTTTTACCACTGCAATCTCGGGCACAACAGTGTACTCAGTGAATGTACTTGTGCGGAAAGAATGATAAACCTTCTGTCCCTTGCAGGAAAATCTGCAGGTCCCATCCAGCATCGTCCCAGAACAAGGCAGCACACTGTGCCACAGTGACGCAGACACAAGCCCAGCACAGACACACGGAGTTGCAAAGAGAGAAGTGGTCACCATTAAGCACATCAACACTTGTACAATGCAAGCAATTTGACAAAAGGGTGAGAGACAAATCTACTAACTCTTGCTTGTCACAGAAGTTTCCTTTGGAGTGCAAGCAGGCGTCACATTCTCTACACTGCGGAACAATGAGTGTGAGGACTTTATCCCCTGTGTAGAGAAAAAATGATAAGTCAACAATTTGAAAATGTTCATGGAATAAAAATACAATAAAATCGCATTGGATCATTTGAGAACGTGCTATGGACAGATGATGGCAGCCAGCGTAACACTCGTGCTTATTTCAAAACAGAAATCATTAAACCTGCTTTCAGAAATCCCATGATTCTTTTCGGCAAATGGTGAGGATTAGGGGACATTCCCTACTTTATAGATAGCTGTAGACCTGCTTTCCCCTACTTAGAAAACAGAATAGTAAAAAAACAGGAAGGACCCTTAAGGTCAACTAGTTTAATTCCTTTGTTTTCCTTTTGAAAGATTTACTGTCCTCCCTTCCCACTGGTCGCCGCCTGCTTAAAGTAGCCCAGCCCAACAGTGTCTGAGCTCTTTCTCGAATCTCTCTGCCTTGCTGGCAGGCTGACACTCAGCAGACCTCTGACACTGGCAGGAGTTCGTTTTCGGACCTGAAATCTAAGCTGTGCCAATTCCAGAGAAAAATAGTTTCTCTCTCTCTCTCTCTCTCTCTCTCTCTCTCTCCCTCCCTCCCTCCCTCCTCCCTTCCCCCCCTTTCTCTCTTTGGAGCAATTGCCACAAAAGGTACCTTTAAAGCCACAGTATTCCGGATAATGTTTGGGTCTTAGCAGCTCTAGACCCTGAGCAACAACTGTCTTGAATCTGGGAAGAGGTGGATCCACCCAGTCATCACAGACTCCTGAGATTTGGTCAGGGTCTACTGTATTGTCCCTGTGTTGGCCCTTACACATTTTTATCACATGGGAAAACTCCTTTAGATGGCATTAAAAAGCTCTTTAAATTTAGATAGAGCACACCTTACCTTTATTGACTCTAAACATTTCCACGTCCTAGATCTCAGACTCTGGAGTTCCAGTCTTCCACCTGTTCTTTTCCTTCAAACGCTCATTGTCGTTTCCCACAAAACTCCCTCGCGGATTTTCTAGCCACAGAGCAGTTGCCCACATCTCTTACTTCTTCACATTCTCTGACGGGCACAGGTATCTACTTTCGTTCTGCCTACATTGCCTGTGTCAGATGCACACTAGACCGTCCTAACTAATTCTTGCCAAACGAACACACCAATGATGGCTTCATGAATGTTCTTACAATACATATTCTTAAGTCTCTTTGTGCAGCTGGTCCCAAGCTGTGGAGTTCCTAAATTATGTCAATCTGTGTGTGATTGCTTTCATCCACTGTGATCATTTTAGGCATGCTAAGAACAGCAATATCAAGATCCTTTTTGATGTGACTGGGGAAAGTTCTTTGAAATCATCATCCTGTCAAGTAACATTCAAGCCGTATATTCTAGTTGATTAGAATATTCATTCACTTGTCAAACATTTACTTCATTCCAACTCTGGGATGGGCACTGTGCTCAGCACTCTGGGAGACAGAAATATAGGAGGTGGTTCCTAAATCTAAGGAGCTTTCCATCAACTTAGAAATACACTGGTCTTACATCAACCTTCATTTATTTGGCTGTGTGCATAACTTGGCTCAGGCACTGTCCCCGAGTCCTAGATTACCAGAGTGGACCCAGATAGAGGTGACAACAATGGGTCTCTTACAATCACTGGCTACATTTGCTATCATGATAGATCATTAGTCAGAAGAATCTAGAGACAAACTCTGAATTTTTTTTCTGAATATGCTAGTAGCACCTGTAGAGTTTCCCCTCTGAGAAGCTCTTTGGCTCGCTGCTGTGGGAAGAGTTTTGCTTCCTGTTTCCTACCTGGCTTCACTGAGCTCACTCCATCTCCAACTGTCTCCACAATTCCTGCTCCTTCATGGCCCGGAATGAGAGGGAAGTTCATTGGGAGTTCTCCTTTTAGGACATGGTCATCGGAACCACAGATCCCTGAAGACACCATCTGCATAGACAAATGAGTGACTAAGAGACAACTGGTTTATGATTTTTCTCTTTCTTTTGAGACCAAATTTTCATTTTTCACATGAATTATTTCACTTGATCTCTAAAACAACACTCAGAGGTATTAAAACATGGGTCTGCCCTAAAAGAGAGTTGTCATTTTTAAAAGATCAGATCCTACAACCTGAAGCGACCAAGCCACACCTCCCTGCAGATCTCTCTGGGAAAGCGTTAAGAAACCAGTTTGTGCTGTGATATGACAGCTCTCAATTTATGGAAACTGGCTCCTTCACACTCCTACACTATATTGAATTAAATCACATGAAATAAAACTTTCCAGCAGCCTCACAAACATAAATCAGATTCCCCCCCATTTTTTTTTTTTCTGGGGATTGGTCCAGAGACTTCTCAGGGGATTTGCTGGGGGAAATGATCTAATGGCTGTTCTCTGAAGCGCTTCCCTGGCCTTTCCACCACCCTCTTGTGTTCTCTCTCTCTCTCTCTCTCTCTCTCTCTCTCTCTCTCTCTCTCTCTCTCCCCTTTATCTCGTTCATTCTCATTCTTAAGCTTCTCTTCAGGCGTTAGAGGGACTTTGCCTTTAAGGCTCTGTCGTGTTAGATTTCTGGTATTGTATTGTGTCTGTCTAATTCTCTTCCTCCCACCTTAAGGTCCCATCATGGCCTGGAGGCCCTTTGGCCTAATGAACTGTGTCTTCTGAAGGGAATTATGTGTCAGCTTCCTTTCTGGACTGACCACTGCTGTTTTATTATTACTTCTTTTATTATATTTAACAGCAGGGACACAGAGTATGTCTTCTCACTCCCAATTTAGAGATGGGAAGGGAGATGCAGAGACTTTGAATGACTTCTCCAGTGCCACACGCCTTCATGTTCAGACCTGTTATTAAACTTTTCTTTTCAAATCCAGTCTATATAAGCTAAGCATTTTGAAACATAAAGGTGATTCTTATACAGAAAAGGTTTTCTTTTGACAAATAGCAATATCAAAACCTACAAAAATATAGGCCTAATATTGTGAAGTGTTTGATACTTTGGGTAAATAAATTTTCACAATTTTAAACCTGTGCATTGAAAATACTTTTTAGCATGGTGACTGGAGAAATCGCTCAGCTGTTAAGAACACTGGCTGCTCTTGCAGAGGACCCAGGTTTGGTTCTCAGTATCTACATGGTGACTAACAAACATCCAGACCAGTTCCAAGGGATCAGGCAACTTCTTTTGGCCTCTGTGGGCATTGCACACTTGTGGTGCAGTTACGTATATGTAGGCAAAATACTCAAAAGTAAAAAAGGAAAATATTCTGTAAGATAATATTGTAAAATAAGTTTAAGCTAAATAAATGAGTATTGCAAGATTTAACGGTCACTGGGAAGTTTGAAAACTTCTTAGATAATGAGTTAAGTTTTCTTGCTTGTTACAGGACCAGCTCATTTACATTAACTCTTCAAAATGAAACACTGCAATAACCTATAGATTCCCACTACACTTGAAACAGTGCGGAAAAGCACAGATACAAGTTTTCCATTACCTGCTGTGGAAGAGACAGCATTTTACAGCTGGAACACAGGACAGAACTGTGTCATGGCTGCAGCAAGTAGGTGGGAAGATGACGTGGGAAATAGCTATGGTTTAGGCTCTCACTGTGTTAAAATGGTTTTGAGATGCTATCAAATCCTGGAAATGCCCTTTTAAATATGTAGGAGGCTGCTTATCCTTATTAGTTTGTTTTGTATAGCAAATGAGAATATGCAATTATCTGTGGTAGCTGTCCACAGAATAAGCAAGACCAGGGTTCATCTACCCCAGTGGGCATATTCAGGTCCTGGCTTTAGATTGACCGAGGATTTAAGCTGATAGTGCTCAATTCTTTCCACTGCTCTCCAACTTGGAAATAAGGAACTCGCACTCAGAAAAGTATCAACTCCATGCACAGTGCTGTACTGAAGACAGGGTGTGAGAACAAAATGAAAAGTGACAGGAATGTGACAACAAAGGGGTTCCATCACTGTTCTAGTTGAATATTCATTGGAAGCAATATCCCCGTACTTCTCATTCACCCGAAGAGCGTTTGGTGCATAGCACGTGTAGGTCACTGTCCACAATATGTCCTGGTTAATTGTCCACTATCCTCTCCTCTCATCCAGCTCTGCTCCTTACCGTCTGGTATGGTGGAGCATGTTTGTAGCCCCAGCACTCAAGAGGCTGAGGCTGGAGGATTTTGAGTTTGAGGACAACCTGTGTTACATTTCTAATACCCGTCAGATATCCATTCATATTATTTATCTTATTTTCAAAAGTTTCTTATTAAAAAAGGCCGAGAAGATGCAAATAAATGTGTATCTCATTTGTGATATCTATTTTTTAAAAATTGAAGTGTTTCTTTTTATTTGCCTTCAAAAGTAAAGGCTGACAGACTCAAATTTACCTTAATACGAACTTCTCCAGCCTTCGGTGGCTCAACTTGCACTTCTTCAATTGAAATAGAATTTTTTTCCCAGGCAATGGCTGCCTGGCATGTGATTGTCTGTAGACACAAAGAAAACAAAACAACATTTATTAACAGAATTTTTTTAATGTATTTTTTTCTGATCAGACAAACGAATGACCACTTGTTATTACTTGTAAGAATGTAAAGGTCAGAAGGGAAAATCTAGAAAGATGACCTGCATTTCAAATGCAAGCTATGAAAAACATAGCACAGATCCTTCCTATCTTTTAAAACCATTTTATTTTTTACTTTTATAATTTTAATAATTTAAAAATAGTTTAGATCATGAAAATAAGTAATTTTACATTCTTCTCTTTTGCTAACAGCAGCCAGTATTTACTGAACTGTTACCACTGACTTGTTAATAAGAATTTTCTCATGACTTCAAAGTGCTTTATAATCAATTTTAAATGCCACTTTATATACTATCATTTGACTGTGTCCTCATTTTCTTAATCAATAGTTACCTAAATATGGGACTTTCCCCATTGTTTTTACTATTATCAATGGTATTGTGATGAATACATTTGCTCATAATTTTTACTTGGTTGATTTCCTTAAGTGGAAATTGTTTTGGAAAGGATAGACATGTTGCAAGTGCTAAATTGATTTCTCTTTACAGAGGTTGAATCATTTGGTTTACTCCCCAAATAACAGATCATAGATCAACTATGTTGTCATTTATTCCACTTTCATTAGTATCAGCAGTAACGATTAAACAAAGTATCTGATGGGCAGAAACAGCTCACTATTTTCATTAGTATTTTTCTAGTGCAGCAGTGGTGGGTATTTGCTATGCTTATGAGCTGCCTGTAGAAGGTTGGTGTGGTGGTATATTTTACAGACCTATTGGCATTTTGTTGCTTTTCTTGTTAATGCAAATGAGTTCTTTAAACATTAAAGGGGTGATTTACTATCTATCAATTTGTCTTACATGTTTTCCTTTGTTGATTTTTTATTCCAATTTTATATGAAATTATGCATATATTTTGAGGTGCTGGTTTATAAATATCTTTTCATTTGTAATTTATGCCATTTCTATAATTTGAAAATTACATAGTAACTAAATACATGTTTCTTACCCTTTCTTTTAATCTTTTTTCTCCTTCATGGCTTTCTTACTAAACATGCTTTCTTTAAGGCTTTGGGCTGCCCCTAGCGTCCTGTATATTTTCACCTTTTCTCTAAAGCTTCCTTCTCCCAGCCATGTGGCTGATGGTCAGCCACATGTCGGACCTCCATGCAGCCTCTAAACCTGCATGGCTTCCATAATTTTCTTTCCTTCTTCCCACTATTCACCTCCTCAAGGCAGCTGTCAAGATTACCAGCTCATCTACCCTGAGGATCTTTCTTTCCATGGTTTTCCAACCCCCTCCTTGGGTCCCCTGCTAGCTTTATGTACCCTGCTTTCCATGGCACCCTGTCTAATTCAAATTTTCAAAAGTCACATACAAGACATCATTAAAATATCCACCAACCAAGTCCTGGTCCAGTACCAAACTATCCCTAATATCTTCTCCGAATTTGATGATACCCACTCCTTATAAAAGACAAAGGGGGAGATGTTAGGATAGTCGGGAGTGCCTGGAATGTAGAGCATGGCCGCAGGCTGGATACCTCCTAGAAAGGACGGCAGGAAACCGGCCCACTCCATTCTAGATACACTGTCTCTTACCCAACAACCCCCAAGCAAAACTTTTAGGCCTCTAATCCTTTAATCCTAACCAGGTCTCTTGTAGATCATGTGACCAGAGGACAGGACAAAGACCATGTAGCCTTAGAAGCCCCCTCTCTCCCCACACCTGCCTGCCCACCAGAAACCCAACCCTGCCTCTTTGCCTGAAAAGCTTTCCTATATAAACCTCTGCTTCTGCCATAATAAATGAGCTGTCCACTGACACAGCCTCCTAGGTGTTTTCTTCCTGCCATACTTGCAGCCACCTGAGGCCTCCCTCCTCCCACCTGTCTCTCTCCTCACCCCAACCTTCGGCTATGGGAACCGGTGTGCAACGGTCTCCCAGTGGCAGCAGTTCAGGGTGAGGGGAGGCCAACAGTTTACATTTAGTATCTGGTGACACTAGTGCTTATAATTTTCTGAATGTTTCTTTTGCAGGTCAGACCACTGCACAGATGGAGTCAATCTGTTGTGTCTTTTAAGAAATTTAGATGCCATATAGATTTTCACAGCTTAAAGAAAATGGAGGTGAGAATTCAGTGTCACAAGAGCTTCCAGTTAAGGATATAGAAAAAATTACTTCTTCCTGAGAACAGAATAGTTAGAATAGTTTTTCTTCCACTCTTAAAAGTTATGTAAAAGATAAGCTTTATGAAATAATTATTTCAAAGGCAATACATGCTTAACACAAAACACCAAGGTACACATGCACACACATACATACACACACACACACACACACACACACACACACACACACTCACACAGCTCTTACCATTGCTGACAATTTAGGGTGAGTTCTTCCAACTGATGTTTTCTGTGTATGTAGTGTGTGTTGGTATGACCATGCTGAGCCTGCTGGTCCATGTAACATTATGAGTATTTTGCAGGTGGTGTTTAATGACCAATTAGGACTCCATTGACTAAATATACTGTGATTTCAGTTTCCTAATATTTCTCAGATGTCACTTCCAGTCTTGTGCTCTTTAAAATAACGCCATTAATCTGCTTATAAGAATATATGTGACTGTTTCACTAGAATAAATTTTCAGATCAGGGGCTGGAGAGACAGATGGCTCAGTGGTTAAGAACACTGGTTGTTCTGGCAGAAGACCCAGTTTCGAATCCCAGCACCCATATGGCAGCTAACAACTGTCTGTAACTCCAGTCCCAGGGGACCTGACAGCCTCTTCTGACCTCCACGGGCATTGCATGACATGGATACACTTACCTACATGCAGGCAATACATGCATACACATAAAAATAATAAATGAAATAAAATTTTCAGATCAAATGATAGGCAAATTTTAAGGCTTTTGCTACAATATATTAAATTATCACCCACAAAGTTGCCAGAAAATCATTATCCTAGTATTGGAAGGTGACTTTCCACAGCATGGGAAACACTGGATATTATTGTCATTAAAATTTGTTAGCAGCCCGATCAGAAGAAACAAAGACTAAATTTTGTTTAAGCACACTCTTTTTTGGTCAAGAGTGAAAATGACATAGATCTGTTTCTATTTCAAAGGCAGTATACTTACTTTCCCTGCAGTGCCCATGATGAATTTTCTGGTGTCGTTTGTCTTATGAGTATACCCGAATAAACTTTGTTTCTATAGTTTGGCAAACTGGGCAACACATTTATAGTATTCCTGAAACCGAAAGTCATTACAGATAATTACACAATCACATATCAACAAGGGGAATACCAAAGAGGTGACTGGATGAAGATATGCAAAAGTGAAGGAAAGAAAGGAATGTGAACGATCAGGAAGAGATGATGAGGGAGCATGTTGATGACAAAGCTCCTGACTGAGAGAGAAGCAGTTCGAAGAGGGGCCAAGAGCAATGAAGCAGAGAGAGTGCAGAAAAGCAAGGAAGAAAGTAGAGATGGACTAAGTCAAAGATCACCTACTAATTAGCCAACAGAGTTTCTGGAATAGCAATTACATGGGAACTGTTGCTAAACAGACAATAAGGAAAGGGTTAAGACTGGGTCACCAGGTGTCAGAAGGATGGAAAAGTACAAGCAGTGACATAAATTACAATTTAACAAGTTGAGAAAGTCATATATGTTAAAGATGAGGTGAGGCTCCTGAATAATGAGAGTTTTAAAACAGGTGGGAATGTGCCTGCATCTTGGGAGAAAGGTAGAGCGTCCATAAAAACAAAGGCGTGGGTAGCATACTTCAAAGCATGGGACTAGGTTGATTATGTAATGTGACATGATTGGATGTGGTTCACAGATCGTGATCCTGGCCAGACCCACCTGTTGGGGGCTTCTGCTTGTGCTGAGTAAGCAAGCCAGAACACAAGACTGGTGTGTTGACTTGAAGGGTAAAGTACAAACTCTGCTGGCTGATTCTCATCCACAGATTCATTCACCCAGCACACTTGGAGGCCTGATCTGATGAGACATGTAGCCATTTGTTAGGTCCCTTAGTCTCATAGCTCAATGCTCCTGGGAGGTTAGGGTGATTTGCTGGGCATGGGTGTGTGACAGTAACTGGGAACAAAGCTCCATAGTTATAAGTTTCTAGGTGTAGACACTTTCTGGCAACAAAATATCTTTACACCCTAGTATGTTGTTTATAGTCTCATTTGAAGGTTTTATGTCTTCTAACAATTCAGAAAGTCACCTTGAGCCCTTATCCCCTCTAGAATTTTGTGAGACTTTTGCCTTAAGACTTGAATCAGGGGGCTGCAGGGATGGCTCAGAGGTTAAGAGCACTAACTGCTCTTGCAGAGGACCCAGGTTTGGGTCCCAGCACCCACATGGTGGTTAACAACCATCCTAACTCCAGTTCCAGGAGATCTAATGCCCTCTTCTGACTTCCAGGGGCGTTGCATGACATGGGTGCACTTACGTACATGCAGGAAATACATAAAATAAAATAAAACATATAAAAAAAGACTGAGTCAGGATCTTGGATTGGGGTGGAGACACCTCGTTTATCTACTCTGAAACCTGACCAAAAGAATGTTCTTAGCAGCAGTCCTGGTGACTGTGCTTTCATCAGGGAAGTGCCTTTGTGGGTGAGATGGTGCAGGAGGTGCAGCGCTGAGGGACTGACACCTGTGCATTAGATGACCCTGTGCTATGGAGTCTTGGTTCTCAGAATTTCTGTGTTCATGTTTTTACTCTCAGAGTCTAAATATTGTTCCTGTTCAGTAAGGCCTCATGGGATGGTCAGCAGTGTGATAGGAAAAGCTGGAACTTGCAATGGTCGGGTGTGAATTTTCTATCCTACAAGGGCCACTTTGAGTTTTCTTGTAGCACTGGAATCATTCTTAGTCTTTTCTTTTCTTCTGCCAAGTTTCCTAAACTTGGAGTTTTGATGGCCATGTGGTTCAGAATCCTAAGAGATGACTGGGGACAAGTGACCAATTTGTTTGCTTTACTATAAGAATCCAACACCTTGTGGTAGATTCTTCATGACTTATTCCCCACTTGGTGCCTGCCATATTTGATGGTAGGCAATGAACTGTGTAACTTCTGGAACTTGGTTTCTGTATTAGTGCTCTTGTTTCCAAATGATAAAAATACGACAATAATAAATTTAAGGATACAATGACTCACAGGAACAATAAAGGAATGGACCCTTAAGGAAAAGTTCAGCAGTGTAACTGGGAACAAAATCAGAAATCAATTCACCGTTGATAGGACTCTGCCTTTCTCTTCTGGGTGGCAGTAAACTGGACAAGACAATATCACTAACAGGGTTGGGTTCAAATCTTACCTTCATCTCTTACATGCTGTGACCTAAAGCAGGAAACTCAACTCCTCAATGCTTCAGTTTCCCTATCCATAAAATGCCAGTGTTATGTCAAAACTTACCTCATGGATTTTGTCATAAGTACCAAGCATGATACCATATGGAGGGACCCAGAATCTTGTCTTGCACATGGCAGGCCCTGTGTATCATTATTGTTGTTGTCATGTCTCTTAGAACATTCATTTCATTTTTCTCAATACTGATTCACTTTTGTCATATGGTAGAAAATATATCCATAAAGAAAAAGCTTGATTCATAATTTAACAACTTCAACAAGAGGGCTCCGATCTCTCTCATCTTAAGTCCCCCAGTGTAAGAAAGTTTCTCCTTTTCAGTATTAGTGAGGTGCACCGCTTGGTCAATGAAGTCTAGGAAAATTTGTAGGGTTGGGTGATAATTTGACAACTCTAATGGCTGTCATGTGGAAAAAGTGTGGGGACAGTTCTAGGACAGAATGGTTCTACTGTAAATTCTTGTGAAAATCAAATGAAGTCTTAGCATTTCTTAGAAATCCAACATTTTCCTACTTAATTTGCCGTCCACGTTCTTGAATGATGATCTTAATCTTTCAACACAGTGGTGTCAATCCTATAAACAGCTCCTGCTTCCTCCAGAAAGCAAATGAAATGGCTATATTCTGTTTCATCTCTGGTCTCTGTTTCAGTAAAGCCAGCGGCTGTCTCCGAGTATAGTAATCCTGACAGGTCAGTCTTGCCCATTGGCTCTTCTTCAGAGACTTTTCCATTGGCCTCTTGACTCAACATGCTCCTGGTTATCCTCCATAGTGTTTGGCTGTTCTCCTTCTCACTTCCTTTTACCTCTGTTCTCTCTCCTGACGATAACAGTCCCCACCTGTGGTTCTGGTTTTGTCAGAGAAAGACTTTCTCAACTTGAGGATTTGATCTTCTCTTGCCCTTGAGTTCTAAATCTGTGCCCAGCTCTGTTCAGTTGGAAAGCTGTAGGAGGCAAGAGATGAAATGTTTACATTGTAGCTGCTGTTTTATATACGGTCCTTTTCCCAAATCAACCTTAATGACTTTTGTAAAGTATTTTTTTTCTTATATGTGATAGATGCTCATTTTTAGAAAAATTTAAAAATAGAAAAATTATAAAAGAGAAAATAAAAACTAATAATCACACTACTGTAAATATCTTGCCACTTTTTTCTATATATAAATTATAATTTAAAACATTAAAAGTTGACTACTTGATGGTAAGTTTTACTATATAGCTTCAGAGGGAAGCTTTAATGGAGTAACAGACACATAGATCAATGGGACAGGAGAGCGAATCTAAAAACAGACCTACACACATAATATCCAATTGATTTTTGATGTAAACATGAAAGCAATTCAATGGAGGAAAGGTGATCGTTTCAATGAACTCCCTTAGACTCTCATGGGCAAAAGATGAATCTCAATTAAAACCACACCTTCACTTAGAATGGAGCATGAATAAAATGTAAAAGTATAATGTTTAGAAGAAGCATAGTAACACATCTTTAGGATATTTTCTTACATAAAGAGTTATTAGACATGACACCCAAATCACAATTTTTAGTAAATTATTAAGTTATCCTTTAAATCCTGTTTGCAGAAAAAAAGACAAGTTATAGATGGGAGAAAATAGTTACAAACTACACATTTGACTATCTTATATCTAGAATATATTTTAAAAACTCAAAATTCAGCAGCAAGTCAATTTTGAAATGGTCAAAAAACAGAAACATGAGTTTCACTAAAGAGAAACAGGTGTTTCAATAAAGAGGAGCTCAACATCTTGAGCCTGAAGGGAAGCTCAAATTAAAACCACAATGAGATGTCACTAGATATTTACTAGAACTAAAACTACAAACTAGTTAAAATGAGAAATAGCGATAATACTTAGTGCTAGATGGCTCCTACATGTTTGGTAAGAGGATGAAATTGTGCAGCCATCCTGGCAACTCTTTGGCAGTTTCTTGCAAAAATTAACAAGCACATGTCATATGGAATGAGTGGAAAGCATATCCCCTAATGCATATTGGCTCAGAACTTTGGAATGTGGCCTTATTTTGAAATAGTCTTGCAGATTTAATCATTTAAGATGGATTAATACTATGCTAAGGTGGGCTTAAATTAAATATGGCCCGTGGTCTTGTAAGAAGAAAAGAAGACGCATGAAGACACACATGCACAGAAGCAAGCAACAGGATGAAGGCAGACATCGCAGCGCTGGAGCTACAAGCCAAGGGATGCAGTGATCACTGAAACCACAGAGAGCTCCGGACAGATTCTTCCTCAGGGCCTCTCAAAGGAGCCCACCCTCCAGCTACCCTCCAGCTGTGGAAGAATACATGCCAGTCCCTTCTATCTTCTCAGTCTGTGGGAATTTGTAAGAATGACAGCTATAGGAGACTAATGCAGATTTTGGTGGGGAGAATATGGTGCCACTGTGAAAGTGGTTTAGGAATTAGGTGAAAGGTAGAGGCTGGAAGTGTTTCGCATTAAAATATAGAAAAGAGCTTTGAAGAGAATATTGATAGAAATATCAGTGTTAAGAAGCATTCTGATAAGAATACAGGAGGGAGTAAGGTAGAGAGCCATTCCATTCCCTAGGAATACATATATCACAATTAACGTCAATACCAACATTAAAAGTGCTTCAGGGGGAGGTGTCAGGAGGAAGTGAAAATGTTTTCCTGGATGCTGGAGAAAAAGCTTGGCATAGTTAGAGTATAAAGGAACTTTTCTGAACTGTGTTTTAGTGTTGCATGAAGCATAGGCCGTGCAAACAATGAAGCCTAGGTGTTAACCT